AAACTAAGAAGGCTAATTTAATAAAGAAAATGATTATTATCAGAGAGCTATATTAATAAAGAAAATCTGCTGTCTTTCAAACTGGGGAAAGAAAGTTATTTGGTTAATTACTTTCAAGACCAGAAAGACAATAATACAGCTCCTATCACACAGACCATAAGTCTAGAAAATTAATTCTTGTGATATATATTGGATAGAATCTCATTCTCAGTTGTTCCATTAAGACTTGATGGAGGTATGTCAGATGCAAGTTGTTATACTGCTAAGCCTAAACTAACTCCTATCTAAGCAAGTCGTCTAAAATATCCATGGCATCCATTGAATCCAGAGCATGTGGGCTTTTATCAACCAGCGGCACACCTTCCTTCATAATCTTAGGCTTCATAACTGCTTGCAAGCTATAATAATTCATGGTCCAGTTTCCTCATAGGTTATAGCACATCCTCCCAACCAAAGCCCAGACAAACCTTTCAAACAAATGACATCCGAAGATTTTGATAAGAGCACTCTCCAAGTGGTGTTAGATCAAGGGAAGAAATGATTTACTAAAGGTTTTAGTTCGAGTAGCCAAGAGGAAGCTTTTAAACAAATGAAAACCCAAAGATCCACAAGAGCACTATTTAAACCTTGAGAATCTCTCCTCCTCTCAAGTCATCAAAGACTAGCTAAGAAAGTATGGGCAGAAAATATCTTAGACTTATCTCTAAATGAATGATCAATAAGCAATAAAATCCTCAACAATGTATTGGAGGATAATTTGTAGCTGAGCTCAGTAATGATTATTTAGGTCATGCTGAGAGTTCCGTTTCTTTGAAATGTAAGAACCTAATGAATGAGAATGATCAGGATTGAGGCATGCAAAAAGTCCTCCAATAGCGGTTTTTACATGACCAACCCTTCCATAAGAACTTTTTGTAGATGTTCAGAAAAATCATAATATCAAAACTATCCCAATTTGCAAGAATAATAAACACTTTCAAAATGCCATCCCATACTTGTCATTCAACCTGTTAATACCACTACCTATCTAGTTTACTACTAAGGTTATATTTGGTAAAATGACAAATGTTTAAAAAAAAATTGGATTGCCATGGGAGCATAAAAATATAAAGGAACATCGAGAACAATGTCTTTAAAAAGGGCATATACTACAATTCTTTCAATAATTAGTCCTAATTTCCCCTCTTTTTCTATTCACGCAAATATCGAAGTTGAAACATCTTTCTCAAATACTATAGGATTGTTCGGAAAACTAGTTTGAAACAGTTTTCTGATTTTGTTTTCAAAACCATTTTTTGACAACTGTGATCGAGGTACTAGCAAAAGTACCAAAACAGATAAGACAGATTCATGAATTTGAAACAAATAACTTATTCGGGGAATGGATCATTTGGAAGAACACGCTAAAAGAAAGAACAAGATAAACTTTTTCAAGCAGTCATAAAAAAATTAACATGTTTATACAAAGAAAAAAAAAATTAAGAAACAAAAAACCTACTTTTCAAAACAATTTTAAAACAACCTCTAAATATTCTTCAGATTGAAAATTTTGAGAAAGACGAAGAATATCCCTAGACGTAAAGGGGGAGAAGGGGAAGAAGCAAGAGAAAAATAAAGAAGAGTTGAAAAGATAAATATAAATATCACATTGAAAGATTTCACAGAAATTATTAGGATGTGTTTGTCTGTTCTGTTATCCTAGGCCAATTCTCTATTATGTTCTCATTAGCTCATTTTTCTTTGATTTCGATAGTTTGTTTTCCATCTTTTCACTTAGAATATGGAAGAGTGTTACTGCCAACTTGGAAATGTCCTTCATGTGTTAAACTCTTCTAGTACCATCGTGAGTCAGAACGTCCAAGATCCACCCTGATTTCATTTCCATTTGATTGTCTTGGTGGATGTCCCAAAGCAGTAAGATTATACTTGAATTAATTATCTAAAAAGAAAATTGTCAATGAACATGGAGGGTGGTTCATTTTTGTCCACACTTGAGAGATTTTAGAAATATGATTGACGTGAAACAAAGGTTGAAGAAACAAATTATTTACAAGGTAAAAAAATTCAAGGACCTCACGATGGAATCATTCAAAAACGACAATAAACCTCAACTGAAAAATCTAGTTCAGTAAAAAAAATACTGAATAAATAAAACACCATCCATCCTTTTTTTATTAGCATGTAGTAGCTTGAGATATCCATGAATTCAAACAATGCACATCCCTAGCATTCCACGAACGTCAAGATCTCGATTATGAAATCAAGATAACATGTATGAAAAATATTCTTGAAAGAATACACCATTACAAGTACAAGAGTACGGGGTATTCAAACCATGCATAACAGCAATTAAATTAACTTCTCAGAATAATTGTATATAACATATGATAGTAGCCTAAAAATACAAAAATTATGAACTGGGGAGTTTCAAGGATGATCAGGAGATGTAGCCCTTTACAGAATTGGAGCACCTACAACTAAAAAAAGTGGAATGCCTTTTTTGCTGACCTATTTGACCACTGAGCTAGAATCATTTTGGTTATACCCGAGATTGAATATGTCAACTCACAATAATACTACATGAATAGATCAAGCAAGGTAACATACCCCTCGTCGTAGTTGCCTTCCACTATCATTTGTATATATCAGGCATAGATAATGTACTATAATTAGAACTGAGAACTTACTGTCGAACAAACACATCCTTCACTATACCTTTAACATTTTTTTTGTAGAAAAATAATCATGAAACCTATTTCACAAGTATCATCTATCTGCAATAAGGACCAGGGTTCTGACTTTGTAGCTACCAACTCTTTATTTACCCATCAATAGAACGCAAACTATCTATATCCCTAGCATTTCACCTGATCTGATCAAAAGGACCAAGTGCAATATAGTGAAAAGTAGTTAGTCGGTGAAAATTAAGAAGTTCCGAGAGAGAATAAGTCATAGTGACCAACAAATGCACTGGTCAAGAATGGAAGGAGACTGAAATACTCGATACACTTAACAAGGTACAGAAGAAAGACACGAATTGAAGGTGATAACATCATAATTCCTTCACTAAAGTAACACCAAAATTGAGCTAAAATTCATGTTCTTTTCGGCGCAGTATTCAAAAGGCACAGTCTCAAGCTCAGTATGACGAAATCAGTGAAACTAACTATTTTCACTAATCTCACCTACTTCCATTCCTGAGAAGCCGTAAAGACCTACTAACCAGACAGATTTGGATTTGAGACTATAATCACAAACAGAAACTCATAGAATAATAGTGAGAGTGACGAGCGATAAATAATTAACCAACAAAAACATGCATGTAAAAGAAACAGACCGGAGATTTGACTACGATAGAGTCAAGTTGTTGATCGGCGAGTGGAGAGTCGAGGGCAAAGCAGTGATAGTCCCCAGGAGATGCAAATGGTGGTTTGATAGAAGAGAAAGGGAGGTGACGTTTAAGAGAGAGCATGATCTGCTCCGGCGGGTGGCCAGAGGAGTTGGGAGCAGGAGAACCCGACATGGAGCAGCGTTGAAGAGACGGAGAGGTTAAGATCGAGTGAGCTCCTTGAGTGTTGCGAATTGGGGGAAATCGATGGAAATTGAAGAAGAATTTGAAGAAGGTAAGGGAAGAGATCTGTGAGGGTGTTGGATGCTCAGAAAATGGAGGAAAGCGGGAGAGATTCAGAGAGCAAAGGAGAAGGGAGAAGGCTGAAAGGAAGGAGGGAACACTTGGTTCGTTCGGATATAGATGTGGAGGGAAGCGCTTATTAAATTAAATAAATAAATAAATACACAAAATGTGAATTTATATTAACCAAGATTATTAATTTAATTTAATTTAATTTAATTTAATTTGTGGAGTTTGTCTCTAATTTCAATTTTATCGGAATTAATTTTAAGGGTAAAGCGCAGCCGGGTTGACATTTAGAAATAAAGGTAAACGAAAGAAACGTTCGAATCGGCGATGCGCGCCTTTTGTTGAGCAAATCCAGTGGCGATTATTTGGCGCGTAACGTAACGTAACGCCTCCCCTTCACCCAATATACTCGCAGTCGATGCATTCTACTCTACTCTCATTTCTACGGTCGTGTGGCCCAACCAAAATTGGGCCTGGATTGTGGGCTTTTATGTCTAATTGGACCATCACTCCCAAGCCCAAATTTAAAAGGAGCCCATGTGAAAAGATCTGGATCATCCTAACTCACAACCAACCGTCCATTCAAGCCCATCAACCCCAAATTTAAAAGGAGCCCATGTGAAAAGATCTGGATCATCCTAACTCACAACCAACCGTCCATTCAAGCCCATCAACCCTAAACCACAAGACCAAATTAAGACCAAATTAAGACCAAATTAAGACCAAATTAAGACCAAATTAAGGATGTTTAAATGACCGAGTACAACCCATGAGTATCCAACTAAAAAATTTACGATTCTAAAATTATTACGAACTTTAGATTATTTGACGTTGGTAATAGATGTTATATCACTAACATCACGTCGAGGAGAAGGTGAGAGGGAGGCAGACAGACGACACTCAATACTCACCTTGGTTGAGCCCATAGCCAGATTGGTGATATAAATAGTGACGTGAATGAATGTTGCATGATACATTTTTCAGTGTTCGAACTAGAGTAGAAAGACATGCTGTTATAAAAAGTTAATTTATTGACAATAAAACATAACTTTAAAATTTATTTCAAACAAGTCTGAAGTTAAAGATCGGTACTTTGTGTTAGACAAACACGACTCTCCACAATGATTAGATACTATCCACTTTGAAATAAGCTCTTATAGTTTTGCTTTAGGCTTCCTCAAAAGGTCTCGTATCAAGAGAAAGTGTATTTTTAGATTATAAACTCATGATTATTCCCTAAATTAACCAATGTGGGACACTTTTATCTAACACTATGATCAAAACAGGTATCCGATAACCCATTTGATGATCTTTCTTACCGTTTTTTTTTTTTTTTTTTTTGCTTATTAAATAAATTAATGACATAAATTTCTTGGAAATTTTTGAAAAGAAGAAAAAAAGGATAAATATAATATGGATTAATAAAGAAGGTCAAACTTCAACATGGCAGCTCTGAACAATCTGGAACTTCATGGCGGAGCCAAGAGCGATGGCATGATGATCAGCGTTTCCAAATTTAATAAACGCCGGGCAGTTAACATTCAAATGATACCTGCCCGAAATCCACGTGCCCACCTTCCACTTAACCTGCCCGTCCACTTTAACATTGAACAAAACTGCCCCAACGTTTTTATCCTGCTGTAACGACACGGCGACGTCAGGCGCGACGGGGACGGCGTCGCCGGAGAGAAAAGGGGACCAAACGACGATGTCACGGTGGCCTTGGTAAGTGGAAGGCAAGAGTGTGGGAAGGGTGAGTTGCTGGCCGCGGTAAGCGCCATAAACGTCCATTTCGAGGTAGTAAACGCCAATGCGGTCGTTGGGGTTGCGCGAGGAGATTGTGACTTGCATACTCAAAGACAAGAGATTTGGGGAGGTGGAGGCGTTGAGGCTAAAAACGGTGACGTCTTGGAGGATGAAATGGGGTTTGGAGGGGCGGAGGACTGCCCATATGATGAAGATTACAATGCCCACGATGATGGTCAAGGCGAGGAGGACGGCGGCGAGGCGGCGGAGGAATTGTTGGTAGTGGTGGTGGTGGTGGCCGCAGTCCTTGTCCTTGGCGCTCATCTTGGGAAATGGGTAGTAATGCAGGGGGAATTGGAGTAATTATAAAGAGAGGTAAATGGGAGTTTTCTTGAAAAATAGAACAAAAGAGTATATTCATTTATTTATTTTTTTTTTTTTTTTTTTGGTGATAATAAGTGGAATAAAGTGTGGTAAAAATATGAGAATTCTTCACCGCCAAACAGATTCCAAAGTAAAAAAAGTGGACTCAATAAATATATATATATATATACAAATATAAAAAAAGCAAGAAAAGAATCTTTTTTTTCCTTTTACTGGTCCTCCTAGCTTAGAGCCATGGATTATGTGTCTGGTGTAAATCCTGTTAGACGAACATACTCTCCACAATTGTATGATATTGTTCACTTTGAGCATAAGCTCTCACCAATGGAGTTAGTATTCTCACTTATAAGCCCATGATCATTCCCTAAATTAGTGGGACTTTCATCATCCAACACCTCTCTTCGAACAAAGTGCGCCTCCCCTTAATTCAGGCTCGACGCCTTCGAGGAAGCTTTCTTTTGGAGTTCTTTTGTTCGATGTTTGAGGATTTACCAATCTATTGGCACGATTAAATTTAGGGCATGACTCTAAACTAGGGGAAGGTTTTAAAACGTGTCTACTAGGGGAAGGTTTCCACACCCTTATAAATGGTGGTTTGTTCTATGTATATTGGATGATAAAAGTCCCAGGCTAATTTAGGGAATGATCATGAGTTTATAAGTGAGGAATACTAACTCTATTGATATGAGGCCTTTTGGGGAAGCTCAAATCAAAGTTATGAGAGCTTATGCTCAGAGTGGACAATATCATACCATTGTGGAGAGTCGTGTTCGTCTAACGTGGTATCAGAGTCATGCCCTAGTCGTGCCAATAGATTGGAAAATCCTCGAATGTAGAACAAAGAACTCCAAAAAGAAAAAAAGGAATCAAGCCTCCTCGAAGGCGGGGAGACATACTTTGTTCGAGGGGAAGTGTTAGATGAAAGTGTCGAAGGCAGTCAAAAATAACTAAGACTCCAAAGGAGCCGAGCCTCGATTAAGGGGAGACGTACTTTGTTCGAGGGGAGGAGTTCGATGAAAGTGGAGGCGTACTTTGTTCGACGGGAGGTGTTAAATGAAAGTGTCCCACATTAGTTAATTTAGGGAATGGTCATGAGTTTATAATCTAAGAATACACTATCCATTAGAATGAGGCCTTTTGGGAAAACCTAAAGCAAAATCATGAGAGCTTATGCTCAAAGTGGACAATATCATATTATTGTGGAGAGTCGTGTTCGTCTAACAAACCCATCTCAAACACGTTCATAATGCATGTATTCAACACATTTTAGCCTCTAAAAACTATATTGTATATTTTTTTAAAATAATTAAAGACCATGTTGTAAATTTTAAGAGCAAATCTGTAACATTCAAATTGTGGAACAAATATAGGCATGAATTTTAAGAGAGTTGTCCATTTCCTGCTGCAGAGGACCAACCTGTCATGGCTAGCACGCATTCCAAGGCCAGCTGAAGTATCCAATCATACAGTACACTGCCTTTCCGAAGCTTCCTATGTAGCATTTAGAATAAAACAACACCATATCACCATCATCAAACCCTCCAATTTGAACAATACAAACTAACGAAACCAAGTTTATATAAACCAGTAATCCAGTAACAGTCCGAGTCTATCGTTAGCACTCGAAAAAAGAAAAGCTCAAATAAGACAATATTTGGTAGTGGTGAAGCTTGAACTGTTACAAATGGTATTAGAGCCAGATATCGAATAATGTGTCAGCGAGGACCCCAAGAGAGGTGGATTGTGAGATCTCACACTAGTTGGAGAGGAGAACGAAACATTCCTTATAAGTATGTGGAAACCTCTCACTAACAAACACGTTTACAAGAAAACTCGAAAGGGAAAGTCTAAATAGAACAATATCTAACGAAACTTGATCCAAGACTTAGACAGCAATGTAATGGATTCTATCGACTCGAATGATTATTTCAATCAATAAAGTCAAGTCACTATTATGCTTGGCACCAATGGCAAACACCACCATCCCTAAATTCTAACTCTTAACTCCTGGGTTGTTTGAACAATCTATCACATCTGTAATCAACAGAAGAACAGAGAGTGCCCTGTGCAAGAAAGTTATAACTGAAGCCTAAAAAAGTGTGGAGTTTTCTCAGCTATGGATGATCAGGAAGCATGAAGATTAAGAGGAGAGCATGGGAGGAAATTATATGGTCAAGGAAGCAAGTTAATAAGGGCATCAAGAATCAAGAAGTGTTCATAGAGAAAGCACATTTCAAAGAAGAGAATCAAGGATGTAGATAACAAAACTAAGAAGAGAAATAACCTGTAAATCAATCATCTTTCAATGCTTCACTAAACCTTTCATGTGGGTAACTCGATCATATCTTGATTAGAAGGCAACATATTCAAGATGAGGTGGGTGGCAAGAAATTTATAGGGAGAAATGGGAGCTGCTAAAAACTGACCAAACCAAAGAACGCTCTCGGTGTTGGCTCTTAGAACTGAAACCCAGACCTCATACCTGACAAACCAACCAACACCAACTTCATTACCGAACATATCCACCCTCTATGAGATCCCACATCGGTTGGAGAGAAGAGCGAAGCATTCTTTATATGGGTGTGGAAACCTTTCCCTAGCAGACGCATTTTAAAAACTTAAGGGGAAGCCCGAAAGGAAAAGCCCAAAGAGGACAATATCTGCTAGCGGTGAACATGAGTTGTTACACCCTCCCTCTTATCTACCACCTCTTGCACTTGCCCCAGCCTCTCCTCCCTCCTTCCAGCTGATCAGCTCACCCATTGCTCCAACACAAAACCAATTGTTCAGCCGACAAGTTGCTCCAACCAACTGAAATTGTTGGTTTGGACTTTCATCAAACCAAAGGCTCGTCTCAGCATCACAACTAGCCTTGAGAGAAGAATGAACATAGGAGAATTATTATATCGGTAGGAAGCCTTGTCCTGGTACTCAGAAAAGATCCTCATCAGTAAGAATTTTGGTTTTAAGCAACAAATAAGAGGTACTCACCGAGTCAATGGAAAACATTGCAAAATTTGTTACTAAAGAACTGTACTAACTCAAAAAGATGAACCATAGAAACCAGTTCCAAATTTCCCAGCATCTAATAACTTGCATAGGGGGGGGGGGGGGGGGGG